GTTTTACAGTTTTTTCAGCTGATGGCAGGTGAGTGGCAGGGTTTGTCTTATCTTGTTTTTTTTTGTCATGGAAGACACTGAGCGGACTTGAGTGCTGGGCTCAAGCGGACATGGATGCTCTGGTAACGCGGACGTTATCATCGTGCGGACATAAATGCTCCGGTAACAGGGACGTTATCGTCGTGCGGACATGGATGCTCTGGCCATTCGCAAGCCATGAAGCCACGAAGTGTCGCAAATACCGATGTTTTTGCATGGAGGTTATCATCGTGAGGACATGGATGCTCTGGCCATTGCGAACGCAGTGGTCACACAAACGTTATCATCGCGCGGACATGGATGCTCTGGTAACACGGACGTTATCATCGTGCGGACATGGATGCTCTGGTAACATGGACGTTACCAGTTATCATCGTGTCAACATGGATGCGCTGGTAACACGGACGTTATCATCGTGCGGACATGGATGCTCTGCAAAAAAACCACGAAGTGTCGCAAATACCGATGTTTCAGTTTAACAGCCCAAACCCAAACTGGCAAGGCGTACGGTGCAGGTACATGTAGAAAGAAGAAAAGACAAAGGGGCACTGGAGCCTGGAATGTGCGCGAAACCTAGGTTTTAGCACTGGGAATCGAAGAAAATGACACCGTCGCGAATGGTACCGGCACCTAGTAGTAGTAGTAGTAGTAGTGGTAGTGGTAGTGGTAGTGGTAGTGGTAGTGGTAGTGGTAGTAGTAGTAGTAGTAGTAGTAGTAGTAGTAGTAGTAGTAGTAGTAGTAGTAGTAGTAGTAGTAGTAGTCTAAGGGGGTTTTTAGAGTAATAAGTAGTAGCCACTGGCGGGGCGGCCGAAACGCTTTTTTTCGCGAGACCGCAAGGTCAGAAAATTTCGCATAAATATGATATGGATTAATTTATATGGAATATTGTGAATATGAATACCAAATGATGGATCCTCATAAACTCATAAATGGATGAATTTCTTTGTTTATTTTGAGAGTTTACGAAAACCAAATGATATTCATAAAAATTGAAAATAAGAAAAAATTTCTATTTCAATTCGGAATTTCTCAATATCTATGAGATTTTATGAACAATTAAATTATATTCATAGAACATCAAAAATAAGAAAAAATATTTGTATGATGTCGATTTTTTGAATATTCATGAGATTATATAATTATCGAATATAATATGGATTCAATTTTTGGACTATTATGAATATGAATATCAAATGATGGATTATCGTAACTGCTCGAATAATTGTTCGAGCGATTGTTCTTTTTAATTAATAATCAATACATGACATGTAAAATCAATCATAAGTTAATGATGATCTAATATAAATTAATTATGAAAAATATATATCAATGAATTATTAATTAATTATATATTCATTATTGACTCATTATTCATCATGTATTGAGTAATTAATACTTAAGTATTGACTAATTAATCATTAATAATTGTTCATTATTGGAACAAATATTCGAGATGGTACGATTATTTTATTTAATGAATTATAAATTAATGAACTTAGAAATTGATTATTAACTAATGATGAATTAATTATAAATTAAACTGTTAAGTAATTATTCATCAATTATTCATTTGATTTAATATTACTCATGAACTAAGTTAGTAATATTTAAATACTGATGGATAATTATTTATTCATTATTGATTAATTACTAATCATATGTGGATTAACTAATATTTCAATATTGAAACCCTAAACCCTAAACCCTAAGCCCTAAACCCTAAACCCTAAAACCTAAACCCTAAACCCTAAACAAACAAGGAAGCCTCAAAAAGGGCCCCCGGTAAGTATAATGAGAGAACCCTAAACCTTAACCCCCAAACCCTAAACACTAAACCCTAAACCCTAAACACCGAAACCGGTAAGTTGCAGGAGAGAACGTGAAGTGCCAGTCGAAGCTGGAGTTGCAACTGCACGGCGGCCAGGCAGAAATTCAGGATTAGGGTCCCAGGGTTTAGGGTTTAGGGTTAGGGTTTAGGGTCCCAGGGTCTTAAGATCTTGGGGTCATCCAAGGGTAGTTACATGGGTGGCTATATAGGTCCCTTCCCATGGTCCCTTACTTCGCTTAGGGGTTCTGATTCCTGGGGCCTGGGCCTCTTGGGTTGTAAAAGGTATATAAGGGGTATCTCCGATCTCCCTTTGGCCACCCCGTATTCGAATCCCTGTTCAGAACTGTTAGTATACGGGGGAACATCCCTAAACCCTAAACCCTAAAGAAGAAACCCTAAACCCTAAACCCTAAACCCGCCCGAGGCCTGGATCCTCCGAACAATCGCGTGCGCAGGCCGCCAGGGCAGATAGGGTTTTAGGGTTTTACGGTTTTAGGGTTTAGGGTTCGGGGTTTAGGGTTTAGGGTGTAGGGTTTGCGTTTTTTTATTTCTATAGGGGGCTTGCAGGGTTTATTGGGCTTGTAGGTTTCAACGGCCTCAGGTTCGTATACCAGACGATGTGCCAGGTATTGGGTTAAGGGTCACAAAAAAAGCCGCTAAAAGCACAAAAAAACACCCCAAGCCCCTGAAAGCCCTACACCCTAAACCCTAAGCCCCTAAACCCCCTAAACCCCTACACCCCAAAAGTTAGGGCTTTTTGGGTCAGAAGCGGCCTGGGCTCGACATTGCAGAGCCCCATGGTTCGGTGCCTCAAGGGATCAAGACTCGTACCCCTAAGGTTGTACCCCCAAAGGTTGCCCTGAATACGCTCCTCATGTGGCCCTTACACTACCTTTAAACCCTAAGCCCTAAACCCTAAACCCCTAAACCCTAAACCCTAAACCCTAAACCCTAAACCCTAAACCCTAAACCCTAAACCCTAAACCCTAAACCCTAAAACCCTAAACCCTAAACCCTAAACCCTAAACCCTAAACCCTAAACCCTTAAGGAGCTTTGAAAAGGGTCCGCAGAACCCCAAGGGTACGGACCTTAAGGGCCAAGGTACAACCCTTAGACCCTGGGCCTTTTTGGAGAGAATATGGGAGCCCTTTAGAGGCATATGGGTATTTCTCAAAGTGATGGTTTTGTATTGGCTACCATAAGTACTAGAGGCCGGCTCAGAATGGTAGTAGAATCCCCGAAGTGGGGCATTGTTTAGAGAAGTAACCATATACATCCTCGAAATCGGCCTACTCAGGGATGTACATCCCCAAAACGAGCATGCTATCGGCATATAAGGAATTTCCATACCCCAGGTGGCGAACTTCCACGAAGACTTGCTGACAGCCGGCCATTCCATGGCAACTGCAGCTCTTAGTTCGCCCATGATCAATCATCAACACCGGAGTCGTCTGTATGATGCCGAGCAGATTCGGTGGGTCACAGCAGGAAATCCGTTTGCCGACGTCCGTGCGGGCCCGAATGCAGGGCGCCGCAAATTGCTGCTTGCATTGGCGATGGCAGCAGAGCCTACATTGCGCGTGGTGAGGGAGGAGCCTTCACAAGCTGCATCTTCTGCATCTCCAACTCCATTGGTACCCGAGGCAGAAACCGGGGCCTCGGAAACGACGACACCGGTGCTCAATGATCGGGATTGCCCGGCCACGCGGGCCTTCTACGAGGCCAACGGAAAAAAAGGACGCGCGAAGAGAAGGACGAAGACGAGGCTTGCAGATCGAGTCTCACACTCACACGCACACGCACACGCCGCTAAGAGGAACTTGACTTAAGTTTGTCATGGAAAGGAGGGCTTTCAAGTGCACACGCAGACACACAGGGACCGCACTACCTCACCTTGACATGCAGCCTGATGTCTCCGAACATTTGAAGCCAGCTGGGCTGCAGGACCCTAAGCCCTAAACCCTCAACCCTAAACCCTAAACCCTCGACCCTAGACCCTAAGACCTTACGACCCTAAGACCCTAAGACCCTTTGACCCTCAGACCCTCAGACCCTAAGACCCTAAGACCCTTAGACCCTCAGACCCTCAGACCCTCAGACCCTAAGACCCTAAGACCCTTAAGATCCTAAGGCCCTTAAGATCCTAAGGCCCTAAGGCCCTAAGGCCCTAAGGCCCTAAGGCCCTAAGACCCTGAACAACCTCCGACATCCTGTGCCACCTCTCTCACTTCTCCAGGGCACTGCCGAGGATGAAGACCGACATCTTCCGCGACCGGCCAAGGCACGCAGCATGGTTGTTATCAGGAACCCTGAAAACCCTGAAAGCCCTGAAGCCCTGAAGCCCCTGAAAACCCTGAAAACCCTGAAAACCGTGAAAATCCTGAAAACCCTGAAAACCCTGAAAATCCTAAACCCTAGGTGCACGCCTAACCCTCAGATTGACCGCCTAAACCCAAAACCCGAAGCCCCCAAGCCCTATCAACCCTAAATCCCAGCAACCTTGGTGGACTACTTGACGAAGAAGGCCAACACCATAAGAGTCATGGACTGTTGCTGGCCTTCGTCGCGAGATGTGTCGCAAGGTTGACCCAGCCTTGCGTGTTTAGGATTTAGGGCTTAGGGTTTAGGGTTTAGGATTTAGGGTTTAGGGCATCTTCCTCAAGCCGAGCGATGGACAAATCAAGCAGGAGCACTTGGTCGCCTACAAGAAACACAACAAGAACCACTTGCATGCCATGATGCCATCAAGGGTGTGACCCTAAACCCTAAACCCTAAACCCCAAACCCCACACCCCTAAACCCTAGGACAGCCTAGGACCTTCAACTGACCCTGACAGGCTTTGGAAGCTGACACGCTAGGACCCAGAGTAGGCCCTTTATTCACTTTCTTTACGGTTTAGGATTTAGGATTTAGGGTTTAGGGGTTTGGGTTCCCTTATAAGCCCCTTGAAGCCCAAAAAAGGGCACCCTCTTGTAATTCCTAGGCTACTCTTGGGTCTAGGTGCTGTTTTTTACCGAGATTCTTGTGCAGAGCGCTGACACCTACAGAACTTACCCCGGAAAACCCTAAACCCTAAACCCTAAACCCTAAACCCTAAACCCTAAACCCTAAACCCTAAACCCTAAACCCTAAACCCTAAACCCTAAACCCTAAACCCTAAACCCTAAACCCTAAACCCTAAACCCTAAACCCTAAACCCTAAACCCTAAACCCTAAACCCTAAACACCCTAAACCCTAAACCCTAAACCCTAAACCCTAAACCCTAAACCCTAAACCCTAAACCCTAAACCCTAAACCCTAAACCCTAAACCCTAAACCCTAAACCCTAAACCCTAAACCCTAAACCCTAACCAACCCTGAACCCGGAACTCTCAGGCCCCTCAATCAACCCTGAACCCTGTTATCCCTGAGCCCCTCCAGCGCGCTTGCACCTAGTGCTAGAACTCTGAACCCCTGAACCCGGCACGCGAAGGCCCTAAATAAACCTTGGACCCTCTAAACCCTAAACCCCAAACCCTAAACCCCCCCAGGTGCGCTTGCACCTACTGCAAGCTGAAGAGCGAGTCCTGGTACCTCCTCGTCTTTTCGGGCAACGCCTTGGTGGAGCCTCGGTAGGGTTTAGGGTTCAGGGTTCAGGGTTTAGGGTTTAGGGCCGTTTAGGGTTTAAGGATTAGGGTTGATAGGGTTTTCTCTCAGAGTTTTTGCGGTTTTAGGGTTGTAGAGTTTTTGCTTCGGTGTTTCTGGTTTATCCCTACGTGCTTGCAGGTTCATCCGTGCATTTTGTGAAGGGCTACAAGTCGGGTGACTGTACAGTCAGATGCCACAGGCCCAGTCCATGCTTGCAGCAGCCCGTGATCCCTCAACCCAAGCCCTAAACCCTAAACCCTACCCTAAACCCGAAGACCCCAAACCCTAAGACCCTAAGCCCTAAGACCCTTAGCCCGAAACCCGAAGCCATAGGCCCCAAACCATGCAGCCCTTAGATCCGGTTGCCAGGAGGGGCTGGCTTGCTGCTTGGCGGCTTTTGCGGAGATTCGGTTTAGGGTTTAGGGTTTAGGGTTTAGGGTTTAGGGTTTAGGGTTTAGGGTTTAGGGTTTAGGGTTTAGGGTTTAGGGTTTAGGGTTCAGCGTTTAGGGTTTAGGTCTTCTACATTCTGGCTCAGAAACCCGGAACCCGGATCACTAAGCCCTCTAGGGTCTACTGTTTAGGTTTAAAACACAAGTGCGCTCTTCAATTTTGGGTACTGTATAAGTCTATAGCAAAAAGTATACGGGGATTTAAGAGGATGGTTTGGGTATTTCTTGGACAGGTCTGTGGCCCCTGTATCACCTCATGCCCGAAGAAAACCTGAACACCTGAACAACCAAACATGCTTATTTCTTGGGTCTTCCCAACCCTAAACCCTAAAACCTAAACCCTAAACCCTAAACCCTAAACCCTAAACCCTAAACCCTAAACCCTAAACCCTAATTAAACCCTGAACCCTAAACCCTAAACCCGAAACCCGACACCCTGGACCCGACACCCTCGACCCGAGGCTGTAGTCCTTAAACTCCTATACCCGAAGCCCTGCACCCCAACCCTAACCTCCACCCCGAAGCCTTACTTGAAACGTTCGGGGTGGTTATCAGCAGGATTAGACAATGTCCAAGCGAAGGTTGTAGCCAGTTATATTGTCCTTACCCTACGTTTCGCCCCCAGCTCTCCATCTTAAGCCTACAACCAAGAACCTTGTCATAGTGGGTATCTTTTTACATTTTAAAGGTACTTAAACTCAAAAGGGAACATAAGTACATTTTAATTGTTAATGCTATCCCAACCATGAACCAGAGAAGAAGAGAAGAGGTTTGATTGCTTCGCTCTCCGGATTCATCCTCATCTTCGTGATGGGCGTCTTTGGGCCAAGGCCTGAACGCTTCGGGGAGGCTTAACAGCAGAGGTTTAGGATTTAGGGGATTGGGGGTCTGCGTCAACGGTTTCGAGCTGAGGGTTTGCGATTTCGGGGTTTCGGGGTTCAGGGTCGAGGGGTCCTAACCCCTAGAATCACTGGAAGGTTCCTGGGCGGCTCTATGTAGGGTTTCAGAACGGTGTACCCCACATGAGGGTTAGAACCCGTTGTTGGGGTTCTGTTGCCGCAGTTTAGGGTTTAGGATTTAGGGTTTAGGGTTTAGGGTTTAGGGTTTAGGGTTTAGGGTTTAGGCAGGCCTCCTCTAACGACCCATGAAGACCCCACTCCGAGCTCATCCGGCAGGCACAAGTACCAAGAGTTGCCGAGTGGAGCCGAAGAGGGCGAGGATGACCTGCACAACGTGCCGGAAACGGTCTATGAAGGCGTGTGCAGCTTGAGGTTTAAGGGCTTAGGATTTATGTGAAGGCGTGCGCAGTTTAAGGTTTTAGGGTTTAGGGTTTAGGGTTTAGGGTTTAGGGCTGGGGTTGAGGGTTTAGGGTTTAGGGTTGAGGATTAAGGGTTTAGGGTTTACAGGGTTTGGGGGATCACGTGCCAGGGTTTGCCCAGTGGGCCTCTTTTTTTTGGTTCAAGGTTCCCTGATAAAGTAGCCAGCCACGAAAGGGGTACCCTAAACCCTAAACCCTAAGCCCCAAGCCCTAAACCCCTAAACCGTGTACCCTTATCATTATAATGTGGTTACCGGGCTCCCCAGTGTTACCAAGTACACCCAGCCCAGCCTCCAAGTCGAGGCTGGATGACTTTTGGGGGTTGGGGCTATGCTTGACACCCTAGACCCTAAACCCTAAACTCTGAACCCTAAACCCTAAACCCTAAACCCTAAAGACTAAATAACCCTAAACCCTAAACCACCCTAAACCCTAAACCCTACACCCTACACCCTACACCCTACACCCTACACCCTCAACCCTCAACCCTAAACCCTAAACCATCCCAAGCCCTAAACCAGCCCACAGGGCCCCCAACATGTGGCCCAGAGCCCCGGAAGTCCATGGCCCTCGCTGTCTCGCCTTCGGGAGGGTGTCCCATGAACTTATGGGGCCCTGAACCGGAACTCTAGAGGTTTAGGGTTTAGGGTTTAGGGCTAGGGTTTAGGGTTTAGGGTTTAGGGTTTAGGGTTTAGGGCTCAGGGCTTGGGGCTATTTTTCTCGGGCTTAGGGTTATGAGTTTAGGGTTTTGGGTCTGGTTTTTCAGCAAACGTTGAAGGGTCCCTGGGCTTGATGTCTTTCACAGCACCCCGCCGGCAACACCTTAAGGGGGTATAAGGAGGGGACAGCTAGGAGGGACCCTTAACCCTATTGCCCGATATAGCCCCAGGTATACCTTATATAGTCCTTATGTGCCTAAGTAGCCCCTAAGCAACCCATACCATAAGTAACCCCCGAGGTCCCTTATAAGAGTTCCTCCTTCAGTCCCTCGAACCTTGAAAGTCAGAGTCCTCAGCATGGCAACATCGACTTAGGGACTGGGTGGGGCAACCTTGAACCTTCTTGTGGCGATATAGACTCCTACTATGTGTAGAATGTTAAGCTTAATCTGGCCAGGTATGCAGCCCCTGAGAAACGCTAGAAGCCCTGTAAACCTTAAACCTTAAGCCCTAAACCCTAAACCCTAAACTCTAAAACCCAAAACCCTAAGCCTAGGCAGACCTGCGAAGAAACGTCCATGAACAGCACCAAACAGCCTCAACTTATAGGGGTATTCCCAGGCGGCGACACCACGCGGAGCAGCAAGGTGGACTCTTCGAAACCCAAAACCCAAAACCCCAAACCCCAAACAAACCCCAAACCCCAAACCCTAAACCCTAAACCCTAAAGGCTTGAAGCCCAAACCCCGTACCCCAAACCCTAAACCCTAAACCCTAAAGGCTTGAAGCCCAAACTGCCCTAAACCCCGTACCCCCATCTCCAGGCCCTTGGACACATTCTATGGAAGGCTGTGGGGCCCAGGCCTGAAGATCTTCCTGAAGGTTCATGCACAACTACAAACTTGGGACGAGGTGTACCTAAGCCCCAAACCCCAAACCCCAAACCTCAAACCCCAAACCCCGAAACCCAAACCCCAAACCCCAAACCCCAAATCCTAAACCCTAAACCCCCCCCCCCCGCCCAAGAGAAAAGCAAAAAAAATATGTATATATATATATAATAACAGTTAGGGTGAAGGGTTTTCAAGGTTTGGGGTTTAGAGTTTAGGGCGCAAGCCTTGAACCCTAAACCCTAAACCCTACCCCTAAACCCCAAACCCCAAACCCCAAACCCCAAACCCCAAACCCCAAACCCCAAACCCTAAACCCTAAACCCTAAACCCTAAACGCTAAACCCTAAACCCTAAACCCTAAACCTCAACCCTAGGAGCGAACTTCCCCGGTTCGGGAGCAGATGCGGCCGGCCTCCGTCGACTTCGCCGGGCTTGCGAGCGCACCGGCTTGATCTACTGGCCCTTGGTCTAGGGTTTAGGGTGTAGGGTTTAGGGTGTAGGGTTTAGGGTTTAGGGTGTGGAGTTTTGGGGTTTGGGGTTTAGGGTTTGGGGTTTGGGGTTTAGGGTTTAGGATTCAGGGTTTAGCGTGTGCATCCGTGGACGGGAGAGGGGGGAGTGCCCCTTTCTGTGAATTTAGGGACCTATCGCGCGCTCGCGTGGCTTAGGAGGTCTTCCCCTCCCAGGCCTCTGTTAGATCCTCGGGTTTAGGGTTTAGGGTTTAGGGGCCTGGGCAGAGCCCTGGTCTATACGGTTAGCAGCGCTCCTTTTGTGCTGTTTTGGGGGTGTAAGGGGCCTAATGCAGGTTTGTAGGGTTAGGGTTCATCAGGGACCCTAAACCCTAAACCCTAAACCCTAATCCCTAATCCCTAATCCCTAATCCCTAATCCCTAAACCCTAAACCGAGTGTGGCGGGGGGGGGGGGGGGGGAAGCCTCGGCCTGAAACCCTTGAGTTTAGCAGACTCGAACCTGCACATAACAACCCATGATCCCATACCAAAGTAAAGACAAATTCCGCCCCCTAAACCCTAAACCCTAAACCCCAAACCCTAAACCCTAAATCCGCCGGTCAGGCTTTCCGGTTGGAAGCAACTTCTCGTCGCCGAGCAAGGACGCCACCCCAACGCGCGGGCTGACGAAGGATAGAATCCGATCCTACACGATTCACCACCAGACGAGCCACTAGCAGGCCAGGGCCAGCTTGCCTCGAACAAAAGGAGGCAACCGGGTAAAACATAGGGCTGGGAGGAATCACAACTAGGACCCAGAGTAGGCCCTCATTCCCCTTTTTTTAGGGTTTGGGTTCCCTTATAGGCCCCTTGAAACCCAAGAAGGTCATCCTTTTTATTCCTAACTAGATCACTCTGGGGTCTAGACTCATAGTATTCCGCTCATAGTCCCTATATACTAGTATCACCCAAAACCCTATTCTGATTATTGAGGCCCCTGTAGTAGTTACTTAGGGTGGGTTTATGGTTTAGGGTCTAGGGTCTAGGGTCTAGGGTTTAGGATTTAGGGTTTAGGGTTTAGTTTAGGCGCCCATTACCACCCGTTGCCCTCCAAGTCGAGGGAGGCAGTCTCGTGGACGCACGGAATCGCCCTTGCCTCACATTGCGACGACTGGGGGAGTTCCAGAAGTGGCACAAGGCTCATGCCACGTCGCAGCAAAGGTTTGCAGGTGCTCTGGTCCAAGCCGCTGCCGAATGGCACTGGGCGACGGGGATGGGGTCCCTTTGCTGGGTTTAGGGTTTATGGTTTAGTGGGCCTGCTCTGCTTCTGAAAGCTGAGCATCCTCACTTGAGCCTCCAGCCTCATCTTGTTTGTTTAAGAGCAAGGCTGTGACACTCATGGGGTCCTCTACTATGCAACCCCCACCCTAACTGGGTGGTTGCGGTTTTAGGGATGAGAATTGGCCGAGAGAAGTACCTTCATGAAGAGCTTGGGCGAGGGGGGGGCTCCAATCTCCCTTATTCAGAATAACTATTCCTCAACCTTTTCTGATGTTGCTGAATCAAGGCGTATTGCCTGCCTCGTTGGGCTTGTTCAGGTGGAGGGGGGGGGGGGTCGTATAGGATCCCATGTAAGACACTGTACAGAGTTCCAAGATGCCATCGCAGGAGTGCGCCGTGTTCCTAAACCCTAAGCCCTAAACCCTGGGGTATTAGGGTTTAGGGTATGAAGTTTTCGGACATTAGGGTTTTGGGGGTGTTCAGGTTTAGGGTTCCTAGGGTCCTTGTCCAAGCCTGTCCTGCGGGGACGATTTCTTGGAACTGGCACGCCGCGCGCCTGCTGTTTAATCAGACTACTTGGGCACACCAGCCCGGCAAAACAAGGATCCCCTAATAGTGAAACATATGATGATCATATATGGTCCTAATCATAATCCCCTAATAGTGAAAAATATGATGATCAGAAGGTCCTAATATGAGGTGGGGGCCAGGATACCCAAGTAGTCCATATCACTCTTGCAGGGCACGGCAGTAGATTTCGGATCTAGGCCTCTGGGCTCCAGAGAACTCCTGCGCATCCCTGGCACCCTCTATCTTTTAGGGTTTAGGGTTTAGGGTTTAGGGTTTAGGGTTTAGGGTTTGTAGACTTGGGCGGATTCCAAGAAACTCCCGTTTCTTTCCATTCTAAAGGTGCACTGCTATCTCAGCCTGGTTTCTCGTAGGCTCCGGCGTCTCCTCGCCGGTGCTCCTACTGGATTCAGACTTGGGGGTTTCCGACAGTTGGGGTACCCTTTTTTGGGGGTCCCTTTAAAGGGATGCTATTCTGTTTGAGGTTTCAAAGGCGTACCCCCTAGTTTGGGAAATGCCCACTTCTCGTTTGAAAGGACGCCAGCAACATACTTTGGGCCCTGATTTAGAGCAACGTGCGTGCAGCGACCTTGAATTACCCCCTGTAACAGAGCTCAGTATCCTCCTTGTGGGTATACGCCTGGGTATGAGGGCTTAGGGTGTGAGGGCTTAGGGTTTAGGGTTTAGGGTTTAGAGTATGAGGCCTTAGGGCATGAGAGTTTAGGGTTTAAGGTTTAAGGTTTAGGGTTTAGGGGTTAGGGTATGAGGGCATGAGGGTTTAGGGTTCAGGGTTTAGGGAGTCCTCTGCAGCCTTCTCCCGGATCCAGCCACGACAGCGACAAAAAATCGTTGGATCGCGCCTCGGTTGGTGCTCTCACATGTTAGGGTTTAGGGTTTAGGTTTTAGGGTTTAGGGTTTAGGGCTTAGGGTTACTGTTGCACCCCCTTTAGTGTGGCCACCCGCAGCTCGTCGAAGCTGACGGTTGCCCTTCTTGAAACTTTCCAGAAAAATCTGACATTTCCATGATCTTATATAAAAAGGCGCAGAGAGGCCTGGCAATTGATGTTAAACCTAGTAAAGGTGCGCCGCACGGAATAGTTTCTACGACCCCGGAAGACCTGACCTAACACCGGATCCCACCGGGCAGCCTTAAGCAGTCACGCGGTCACGAGTGGCCCGGCAAGCTGGGAGGGTTTAGGGTTTAGGGTTGAGGGTTTAGGGTTTAGGGTTGAGGGTTGAGGGTTTAGGGTTCAGTGTTTAGGGATGCTTCTGTGCCTTGTTGCCCAACCTCTCAGCCATGGCTCCAGGCGCTCTGGGGGCCCCAGTCGCCCCACGCCCGCAAGCACCAACTAGACTTAGAGATTTTTGGGATAGAAGTACCCTAAACCCTAAACCCTAAACCCTAAACCCTAAACCCTAAACCCTAAACCCTAAACCCGGCAGGTCTAGATGAAAGCCCTAAGTCCAAGCTCCGACCCGCCGGAAGCACTAAGCCCCGCCACCTTTGATTGGACGCCGCAAGGCTAGACAAATCTGGCACATTAAAGCTCAACCCACACCCCCCCCCCCCCCCCAACAAAAAAAAAAAAGAAACAACAAAACAACAACAAAAAAAAATAAACAAAATAAGGCCCTAAGCCCTAAACCCTAAGCGCCCTCGTCACGAAAGCCGCGCTATGGAGCCGCTTCGCACCCTAAACCCTAAACCTAAACCCTAAACCTTAAACCCTAAACCCTAAACACCCTCGTCACGAAATGGAGCTGCTTCGCGCCGCCCCTGGCTCCCCGAGCATCCGTGCCGAGCGTGGCCGCAGCTTCGGGCAGGTCCCCCTGGTGTGGGGCTTTGGGTTTGGGGTTTAGGGTTTAGGGTTTAGGGTTCAAAGAGTTTGGGGTTTATTAGGGTTTGGGGTTTAGGGTTTGGGTTTAGGGTTTTATTGTTTAGGGTTTTGGGTTTAGGGCTTAGGGCTTAGGGTTTAGGGTTCAAAGAGTTTGGGGTTTATTAGGGTTTGGGGTTTAGGGTTAGGGTTTAGGGTTTAGGGTTCAGGGTTCAGGGTTCAGGGTCTAGGGTTTAGGGTTTAGGGTTCAAAGAGTTTGGGGTTTATTAGGGTTTGGGGTTTAGGGTTTGGGTTTAGGGTTTAGGGTTTAGGGTTTAGGGTTTAGGGTTTAGGGTTTAGGGTTTAGGGTTTAGGGTTTAGGGTTTAGGGTGTAGGGTTTGGGGTTTAGGGTTTGGGGTTTAGGGTTTGGGGTTTGGGGTTTGGGGTTTGGGGTTTAGGGTTCAAAGAGTTTGGGGTTTAAAGTTTAGGGTTTCAGGCTTTAAGGGACTTAGACTTTAGTGGAGGGTTTTAAGACGCGTTGAACTTTTTTGCTGTTAGGGCTCTGGGAATTCAGGGCGAGTTTGGCGTTTTCATGGTGATCTGGGCTTGAGCTTGGGGCCGGGGTTTAGGGTTTAGGGTTTAGGGTCTAGGGTTTAGGGTTTAGGGTTTAGGGTTTAGGGTAGGGCTTCTGGTTCCTCAGGCCCTTAGATCCTCGATCTGAATATTTCTAGGTGGCCCATGGCCCAGTGGTACCCTGTACGCTTTTTTTTTGTTTGGGTTTAAGGTCCCCTATATAAGGCAACCAACCCCAAAAAGGGTGCCCCTTTTGGTAACATGGTTACTGTGCTACCAAGAATTATCAGAATATTGGAAAAACCATCATGAACTGACAGCAACAATGCAGCAGCCACGCCGCCAGCTGACACCTTGACACGCTCCTCGGAGGGCTCTCGCTACAATGTTTAGGGTTTAGGGTTTAGGGCTTAGGGTTTAGGATTGAGGGTTTAGGGTTTAGGGTTTAGGGTTTAGGGTTTAGGGTTGGGCTGCTTTAGCTCAATCTCGAACCGTTCGAAGAAGCCCCGAAGCTCTTCTGAGCCTATGAACCTTCGGGCAAGCACGCCCAGTCTTCGAGCCTCAAACGTCAACTCCCAATCTTGGCAAGACCTCAAAAGGAGGATCAAAAAAAACGCTAAGGCCCCTAACGCCCTAAACCCTAAGCTTTGTCATAGCGGGGCAACATTTTGCATTTTCAAGGGTGCTTGAACTCAATAAGGAATAGAAAAATAATTCTTTATTGCTTTCCCAACCATGAACTAGGAAACCCTAAAGCCCTAAACCCTAAAGCCTAAAGCCTAAAGCCTAAAGCCTAAAGCCTAAAGCCTAAAGCCTAAAGCCTAAAGCCTAAAGCCTAAAGCCTGGAGCCTAAAGCCCTGTAGCCCTGTAGCCCTGTAGCCCTGTAGCCCTGTAGCCCTGTAGCCCTGTAGCCCTGAACCCTAAAGCCCTAAGAGGCCCTGGCCCCAACACGGGGCCACTGCCTGGGCGGCCTCGGCATTGCCAGAGGCGTTCGGGCCTGTCGACCGGGCCTTGCGCTTGTGGCGCACCCCTCCAAACCCCGACCTCACGTAGGGGCCTTAATGATTCTAACAAATATATATATATATATATACATATATATATATAGATATATAGATATTTATTTATGTATGCATATACATATATATATATGTATATATTTCTAAAAACCCTTTAAGGGGTTTAGGGTTTAGAGTGTAGGAAAGGGGGCGTGAATAGTAAGAATAGGATTTTGGGGGGCTGTCATAGTATTATATTTTGGGGAGCCAGAAGGGAATCGTATGAGTCATTATTCCGACCCCTATAGTAGAGTTTGTGAGCGAATTTTTTTCGTGATTTTAACTGGTTGAACCGTCTGTCAGGATAATTAGAATAGGGTTTGGGGGTTATTGTAATGTAGTTAAGGGACTACAAGGAATATTACTAGTACTTCTTCCGACCCCTAGATGACGCCCTCAGACCCTCGAGTTCTGAACTGGAGTCTCGATGCAAGCGCTTGCCAT